TAATCATCAGCGAAACGATCTTTTTTTAATGGCAAACGAAAGCCATATGTAAACGTAGAATATACACAATTGCTAATTCATTTATGTTGAGTAATGTAATGGCTCTTGCTGTATCATTTTATATAAACAAATGAACATGTTCTCGATGCTCTGAAATAATTTTAATTTAATTTATTAATTTTTCTTATTTTTATTTTATTTTTTATTGGATATAGTGGAGTAGATGTTCTATCATTAGAGACTTTTTATTACTCTTTGAGTTTTCCGGCATTGAGACGAATATTTTGTATCGCTTAGCAAAAGGTTTTTTCTTTTTTAAATTGTAAAACAAATGCACTACCTGACCGTAGAACATATACAAATGCTAAATGAGTCAAATTTACTGAGTAAAATAGCAGCAGATATTATATTCCTGCGACTAATGCAACGCTGGACTTTGCGTATATCCATGTTTCAAAGAATATCATACACCATCTCATTTTGAAACACTGCTTACTTTTCGTTGTTTGCTTGGTGAATTTTTAAGAAAGACAGTTTTAATATTTTTTAATTTTAATTGTGTGTTGTGTTAAATAAAATCTGCAATTGTTTGGATATTTTTCCATATATACTTATTTGTGGGATAAGGGGAAAATTATATTATTCTAGAATGAGTATTTTATAAAATTTTTTAGGAAAATGTAATAATAAAGGCTTAAAATTAATTCTGAGGACTACCTGAATGTTCTTCTCATAATATACCCAAAATTGAAAAAATTGGATGACAAATTTCATTCATATGAATTTTTTTCCAAAGTTAGGCTCAGCAGCGTAAATTGCCCCCCCCCCACAGGACGACACATCCGGTTACCGCGACGTCCCAAGAGAACGCTTCGGTAACAGAAGTGCCCGTCGCGATTGGGTTAATCTCATTTAAAAGTATTTTTTGAGCTGCAAGAGCAAGCACACTCACGCAAATACTTGTAAATTTTGTTCTACCACAAGAAATCGTTTTTGCCAAAGAAGAATCTGGAAATAGAGCTAATACGCACTTGTTGGTGGATAGCTAGCTAATTGCGGACTAAATGAAAGAATGGATTGAAAGTGAGAGGGTGACGGAAGATGAGGGCGCATGCCCACGATATGCCAGCATGAAACCACTACTCATCTCATAAGACGCTTACTCACCGCTCACCGTAGATGGCTGCTGCAAAGAATATGTATTGACATAGACATTCTTTGGCTGCTGTGCGCAGTCATGCGATTTTCGATGCTCTCAACCATTTTGTCCGTACGCATTGTGTCATTATTTTCGAGAAACTTGATATTCCGGGAAAGCAATATTTGTTTTAAATTCCTTCTGGGAGTCGGGAGATTTTAATTTCCACAACCCAATTCCGGGAAAATCCTGGAATTCCGGGAGAGGTGGGAACCCTAATTATAGTTCCAGGTAATTACACTGGTCATCAGAATTAAAGAATAATGACAGAAATAAAACTTAACTCATACTTAATGAAATATTAACAGAAATTTGTAGAAAAACATAAGGTAACATAAATTACAATGTTTGGCAGTTGATTTTTTGCAAAATATTGAAATCAGAAATGATAAAAAAATAAGTCAACTCTTGAGGAAAAAATTCTTTAATATGGTGCATGGTCACCTCGAACATATACATATACCCTCACATCTTGATTTCATAGAATTTACCAAAGTGTTGATCAAGTCTTCTGGAATTGCATGCCATAGTTCCAAAAGTATGCATTTCAGCTCCTGGAGGATCCTTATCCTCCAGGAGCTGAGGGATTTGGTGCACTGAAATTCGGCGCAGTGAGGCATCAGCACACATGCTGAATCCTGGTTTAAGTTGAGTGAGTAACGTAGCCAATCAATGTGAGTGATATCTTGTAGGGTTTTTCTTAATTTGCATAACAAATTTATTTTAAGTTTTACCTGTTCTCCACTTCTCAAACTTCCCCTCACATTCTCTCGCCAGGACGTAAATTTAAAGGTAAGTGAAGTGCTATTTAAACGTGTGATTATCTCAGTTTATTCAGAGCATGTTTCGCTAGCCTAGCGCACGTTTCGTTGTTATTTCGCGGTCACTCGAGTAAGCCTTTCGGCCTTATCAGCTTAGTATCACGCCAGTTGAATCTCTGCGAGTCCATCTCATAGGAATAATTTTGAAGTGCGTTCTTCCACTCATTTAGTTTTAATATTTTTCATTTGTAGTCTAGTCTAGTCTACGTTTAGTTATTGCCGTAAGTAGACGGTGTTTTTGTAAAGCATGAAGTCCGTGCTGTCTGTTATTTTAGTTTGAGTTAATAAAGGGTTATTTTCCCCCTTCTTCTGTGCTGGTATTTATTTCACGCCTGTACGAGAACTCGCCAGGTTCATCGTAGGATCTAAGTTAATGCATGTGGACAGTTAGAGATAGATCTTACAATCTTCTCTCCGCAAGCATTCTGACACCACATATGCTTGATGAGGCTGAGCAATGTCATCCATTAGCAAAACCTCTGGGCCAACAGCACCCCTGAAGACTCTAACTTGGGATTCCAATACCTCCTCCACATATCTCTGAGCAGTTATAGAACTTCTTTGAAAGTTCTGAGATAACTGTGACAGACGAGCCACTTCTGAAGAATACAGGTTTTGAAGGGACCTTATTTTCTCACCATTAGCCATTTTTACTTTTGTCACTCTTACATGACTATCTGCACTTCAGAAATACCTGGACAAGCCCCAATGGCCAGCTGATGTACTTATCCGTAGTTCCAATCATCACACCATCACCCACTCCTAATGTGTTTCCTCTTCATTCTCCTCTCTCAACTAGCATGGTTAGGTACTCATTTCTGAATCTTGAGCATAAATCATTCCGGAGTTTTTGTAAATACAGTCAAAAGTCTTTAATCCGGACTCGTCGGGACTTCGGCGATTCCGGATTATAGATCATCAGTTTTAAATCTGGTAAGATGGCATGCAGAAACTATAAAATTAAAAATATGAAACTGTAATTTATGAAATAAAGAGCAATTATGATTTAAAGGGTATCAAAATTGACAAAAAAAGCTAAATATTTATTTGTTTACTTTATTAAACATTTATTTCAATGCGCGCATGCGTAAAGCATACATTACGCATAGTTGAAATTAGAAAATTGCAACCAGAAAACTATTTGATGTGTAAGACACAATAACACGCCGAATAAATACTAATTCAGAAGTCAAACAACAAAAATATTTTGTAAATATAACGCTGATTTTTCTTGTTTGACATCTGAATTAGTATTTGATGTGTATTCGTGATATTTATAATGACGAGGAATTTGATTTAAATCATATCAAAGACGGAGTATATCAAGATGAAATACTACATTTAGTAAGGAATTATAAGCCGAATAAAATAAAAACATCTGCCCTGAAGATAAGGTTAGTGCTGACAGATCAATTTCCAGTTCATTGCGTGCCGCATCCCCCCCCCCCCCCGCAGAGCAGCTTGAAATTGATAAACATATTTCGGAATGGTTAGAGAATCAAAGGATATGCCTTTATCCATTTTTTTCAGCAATTCCACTTTTTGTTTTACATCAAAACATGCTTTCCCTTTGTAGATCCAGCATCGGAAATTCTATTTGACATAATCGAAAGTTCCAACTTACTTTTATAAAATTGCTCTAACAGTCTGCAAAAAATAATAAACCAGATGCAATTCGAAGATTAAGGAACAACGCAATCTGCAACATTAACTGAAATAGATAACTAGATAATTTTAGCTTAGCTTATATTGTCCATTATACATTAAACATGCATGCGTAAACAAATTACACGCATATGCGCAAGCGTAAAGGTATTACGCGCATGCGTCAAGGCATTTTTGCATTGACGCATGTGCAGAAAGTTTGTAGCTTTGAGGTCCGGATTATAGATCATTCCGGATTATGGGTGTCCGGATTAACGACTTTTGACTGTACTACAAGTGACAATTTAAACTGTTGCTGTCCATAGTATCCAGATCCTTTACATCATTGTGAGGGATTCCTTGTACAAAATATGCAGGTGTCAATGGCTTTAACTCCGTCATCTCGTCTTCTACATAAGATAGTGGTCGTGAATTCATTGTTGCTTCACAGTCGCATAATTCGGTTTTCAATTCAATGCAACTTATCATTTCAGGACCCAAAACTTTTCTTAAAAGTTCTTTTACCTACTTCTGATTCATAGATAAGCGATTTAACTGGCTTTTATGAACTTTGAAGTCAAAGAAAAAATCAGCATTACATTTGCAAATTTTCAAAGCACTAGTTTCCATGGTTTTATTTAACCAACATTCTCAGCTGCCAAAGTGCAAACGAATGAGATAAACTATAGCGATAAGATAAGAATGGCTGGAAAACACTTAAGCTACTGGTGCCATCAGTAAAAGTATATTTACGGGTATACCTTGGCAAAAATTGGCGGTACATGGATACCGAGTTTGGGCAATTCTTTGACTTGTTATTTTAGCTTTGTATGGTAGAGATTTTTCACCGCTACACAAAGACAAAATTAGATAAAGACAAAATGGTAAAATTATATTTTAGGGTACCCCTTGGTGAAACTTGGGGATTTTTGATGGTACATGGATACCGAGTTTGTGCAATGCTTGTTATTTTGGCCTGCATAGCGGAGATTTTTGGCGCAGAAATTGCCACTACGCAAGCCAAAATAACAAGTCCAAGAATTGCACAAACTCGGTATCCATGTACACATTATTTTTACTTACATGTACACTTATTTTCACTTAAAAAAAATCCCCGAATTGCACAAACTATGCTTTACGCACTCCCTTGAATTTGTCCATGTACACATCGATATATTTTCACTTAAAAAGTCAAAGGAGCACCCAATTCTACAGTAGAGGCTAACAAAAAATACATAATCTCAATAAACTACATCTTAAACCAAACAATAAAATAACACAGAAAAGGAAAAACCTCTTATGTATTTTAGCATTATACAAAGCAAAAATCCCCTTACCTTATTTAGAAATTTGTTCATCTTCAGTCTGTGGCACACAAAATTCCTTAACAGCATCCAAAAACCTCTTAAAATTATCTGAAATACAATCCACATTAAGACACAATAACACGCCGAATAAATACTAATTCAGAAGTCAAACAACAAAAATCAGCGTTTGTAAATCTAACACTGATTTTTGTTGTTTGACTTCTGAATTAGTACAATCCATATATCGGCGTCTCCACAGAAATTCACAAAAATAAGAGTCAAAAATATACTATGTAGTTCTGGACTATGGCTACTAAGTAAACCTTCATTTACACAATTGATTCACTTAATTAATGCACTTTTCCCCTTTCGTTCCAAAACGTACAGAAACTTCAAATTAATCCTACTACATTCAGCCATTGTACCGTCTAAACAATGAAACAAGCAATGTACTTCCTACGCAACACACACCACAAGAGCCTTTGCAAAACATCCCATGATTCAAAATTTCCCAGAATAATACAAATGATTACATCATAATAGGATTTCCATAACATTCAACTACTCAGGTTACTATAAATGATACAACAACTTGGCGATAAATGAAACAACAACTTTGCGATTATACAAGGGATACCTTAAAGTCAACTCTAACTGAAAAAATCTCATAGTAATACATATACAGATACCATTCCATATGTACCATTACCATTTCATATGTACAGAGGCTGTTCGCACATTTTTTAGACGATTTTTGGTAAGCAGTAATGAAAATTCGTTTGCTGCAAAAGAAGTAATTGCAATTGTACTATGTTTTTAAAAGTCAAAATTATCGTCTGTGGCTTGAAAGTTTTCTTTTTATTAAAAATGGCGAATTTAACAAAGCAGTGGTTCGAAAACTACATTTACGCTCTTTTTGAAGAGAAATATGCATACTCCGTTATCCAAAAACGATGTGAGAGTCATAGTTTTGTGACATCTAAAGCGTCGATAGGTAGTATCATCAGCAAGAAAGGAAAAAAATGTCAAATTGGAGCCACAAGTGGGACAAAAATTCCAAACAAGTATCCAAGGAAAAAACGGACATCTTCAACTATTGCAAAGGTACGTTGTTTAATGTTAAAAGAAAATCCCCCTAATCAAAGGACAGTTGCAAAATCATTAAAATTCTCGATGTCCACTGTAAACAAAATGATAAACGTTGATTTAAATCTTAAGAAAGCGAAAAAACGCAATGTGCATTGTCTTCTTCCAAAGCATATCGCTCAACGCAGGACAAGCTGCAGAATTCTATATGAGAAACACTTATCGAAAGAAAAATGGAAAGCAACTGTCACAATAGATGAAGCATGGGTGTATTTAAATGATTGTAACAAAAAAAGAGGCATTTATTATCATAAAAGGGATTTAAATAAAAAGATTAAAGATTATTATCATAAAATTTTAAGTACATGGTTCAAAGAATCGAAAGAAAGTTTTTCTAAGGGATTCATGATTGTTGCTGGTTTTTCTTATAATGGCAAGTTAAAAATAAAGTGCAAAAAAATGTCAACTCCAAATGCTATCAGGAACATATTTTATCGCCAATTTTTCTGAATGAAATACCATCGCTTTACCCACAGTGCCATCAATCTGCGAGACTCCATCAGGACAAAGCTAGCAGTCACACATCAAAATCCTCTGCAAATTTCCTAAAAGAAATGGAACAAAAAACTGGTATCAAGGCCATACCCTTCACTGATATCCCTACTAAATCACCCGATGTATCACCTATGGATTTTTGTGCTTTCGGACTTTTAAAAACTGCATTATCTAAACGTTGTCCCAAAACTCTAACAGGACTCCGGAAAGCTGTTCGGGAGGAATGGGATAGAATACCTCTTCTGCCACTTCAAAAGGCATTATTATCCTGGAAACTGTGGTGTCGAAAGATAGTTCAGAATAAGGGATTTGACATCCCTTATACAGAACATTTAAAACATAAGAATTTTGTGTAATTTAGTTTTGTGAATACAATATACATCGTCTAAAAAAATGTGTGAACAGCCTCTAATTCTGCGTAATTTGGATTATAATTTCATTCAAAAATAAAAAAATAAAAAATTCTCATAGAAATAAATGATTCCTAGTCACCTAAATAAAACGTAAGTACTTTTGATTTATTTGTTATTAATTTTAAAATTAACATTATTTTTAAGCTATTTTATATAATAAATGTTGTAATTAATACAGAATGCGTTATTTTACTGAATTGTAATAATATGTTGATGTCATTTAATTGCGACGGCTGTTCTCGTGTTATATAATACAGCGCGCATCCTCCAGGGTTAACTATACACCGCTAAATGTCATGGGTTAACCTATTTATTTTACATCTATATGCTAAATATCTTATACAGTAAGACCCCGCTTAACGCTGTTTCGGTTTAGCGCTCTTTTATTTCAACCCGGGGATTCCACGAAATCGCTCGCAGCATACGGGGATTCCCCGAAATATTATGCAGCGATAGGTTTCAAATACATATCCGAAAGAGTGTACTTGTATTTCTGTTGGTGCAGGTGCAGTATTGTACAGACATATTTTGAAGGGGTAAATGTGGAAGATGTCGAAGAAATAATTCAAGAAGCAGCGGCTAGTCTTTCTATGATGAGCTCAAGGAATTAACTGAACAAGAAGAAAACAAAAATGTTGACAGCAGTGATTCAGAAGAAGAGCAAAAAGAACTTTTGATGGCATTTGTAAAAAGGAGTTTGTCTACCATAACTGAAATAATGGAACAATTCATTGAAAATGATCCGAATTTTGACAGGAGCTCAAAAGTAATGCTGTTATCATATCTATAGACGCGCGCGCTTACCCGGGACAATTCCGAGAAACGAGATTCTAGTAGTACGGCTTTAAGCGGCAGGCTTCCAAGAAATGTTTCGTCTAGCTAGGAGGAACCTGTCCCGGCTACGAGTAACATTTTAAAACTTTTCCCAAACTGTTCCGGCTGGAGACGTGTTCCTCGAACGTTCAACCAATCAGACGAAAAGGTCAGCTTCTGAACGATCACGGGTAACTTTCAATATGGCGATGGCTCTCACTGTGAAGTGATGGACGGTGGAAATAGAGGGCCGATTTAATTATTGCTGTTTTGTTTCTAATACAACTGCCTGAGTCATTTTTTAAATGTGTAATATTCATTAAATATATAATCATGGAAATTTCAGAGTTGACAGTATTTTACGACGTTCTTGCATTTCGGATTTGTTTACAAATTGTTCGTAGCCAAAAGTTCGCCAAATTTGTCGTATTTTGTGCTGATCGTGTATTATAACACTGTTATATAATAGAATTTTATTTCTTAAATTTGAATAATTTTTTAAAATCCGTTTGTATATGCGCAGAACTGCATAATCAGTGACACATTTTAAACAGCATAAAAGATGCATAAAAAAGAAAAGCATAGCTTATGTAATAATGAGAATACTCATTAAATTTGTCTATTATTTTCATGTTATTAATGAAATACTTTTTGAATTAAAAATACATTAGAAACTATACTTTTATTGTAAATGCTACATATTGAAACATTGAAAATTTATGGATTTATTATTATGCATGATGAAAAAACATTTGTATATACATTCATTAATATAAATCTTATTCATTACATTAATACTAATAAATATATATAAAAACTTCTAAAACATTGCATCTCTCTATCTGTATGTAAATATATGACTTATTAGATGTGTATATATATATATGTATGTATGAATACAAAAATGAACATTGCCAAGAAGTTTATTTGAAGTTACTTTTAATTCAGATAACGATTATGTAATTGGCAGCAGCAACTATAGTTATCAGTTCTTTGCAAATTATTATGGGTATGTAATAATTAGCTGAAAAATAATTGATGAGTATTTGAGTACTAAAGAGTGTACACATTTTGTTATTGGGTTAATTCATAATTATATCATATGTATGATCTACGTAATAAAAACATGACTAATAAATAATAAGAAATGTAACAGCTGTGCATTTATAACATTTGATTACTTAAAACAGCGCACAACTGATTATCACCTTCATGTCTGTTTACATAATGAATTGCACTTTCCAATTAAGTGCACGGGCCTACTAGTGGCCCAAGCGTCGTTGAACACTGGTAGTTCTGTCTCAGGTTAGAATGCCGCGAACGGGCTGGCTACATGACGTTTCCTTGGTTTGCCCCATTTGTAACTGGTATACGAGCCAGTTTTAAAAAATCTTCTACAAAGGGATCCCTCCTGTTGTTATCCCTCGAGGCTTTGCGGTAATCACATAAAACCAACTGAGCCCACCAGCGGCCGAGCGGTAAAGTCGCTGAACACTGGTAGTTCGGTCCGAGGTTCGAATCCCGTGAACAAGCTGGCTGCATGGACGCTTTCGTGGTTTTCCCCATGTGTAACGTGTATACGAGCCAGTTTCCCTTAGAAAGTCCTCCCATCCCTTAGGCAGATAGCCCTAGTGTGCTTTGCTGTAATCTCAATAAACCAAACCATAAAACACACTCATGATGTGAACACCTAATTTCTAGAGTTGGTATAATTAATGTGTTTTAGGTATATTCCCGAGTGTTCTATTGGACAGTAAACAACTCGCACATGTTTGATTGCTCATGTATTCATATGCTTCATTTGATCTTCATTTTGCTGAATAGTATCTGCTGGCTGTGAGGAGGTAAATATCAGCCATATAGATTTTTGTCATTTGAATGGACAGAACAGTAATTATGAGCCATAAAGTTAGTCAGAAAATGCTTTCACCAGGTCACAAATTTTCCAGTGAGCCATCAAATTTTCATTGAAATGCAGACAACAGAAAATACACATAAGCGATGTGTGATAAATAGACTTATCCAGCACATGTTTTAAACTATTCTTAGATGTATACAGAATTTGGCTATTACTGATGTAATTGATTGCTATAACCAGAAGTGTGTTTATCTGTTACATGAAGTGCCAGAGTGGAGATCAAAGTGATTAACTTGATAGCAATCACCTTTCTATTATCTTCCATTACTAACAATAAAGTTTAAAACGAAAAGCGTGTGAGCGATACAAAACAACACGAAGATGCGAATGTCACTTGAAAGGAAACGTCACTTTCGCCAATCTGAGCGATAACTGATTCTTGTTTGGCTTTCAGCCTGTTTGCCAAGTGAAGATGGTAACCCTATTTCGCCAAAGGCCGTTTCTCAGAACTGTTGCTACAAACGTTTTGTCCCGGCAACAAACAGCTAATGTGATAACGGCTTAAGGCGTGGTGTTAGAGATGCTCTATGCGTTTATGAAGAACTTTTAAGAGAACAACGCAAAAGAAAAAGGCAAACAACATTAGATGCTTTTGTCACAAAAAGGCAGAACACTGAAAACGCGGAAGGCTAACTAAATATGACTGAGAATTTTATTTGTTTTTTTAAGAAATATTTGTTTTGTTATTTATATTTTGTTTTTATTTTTGCAAGAAATAATAATGTGGTATTAATTTGGGCTTTAAGAAATAAATGTTTGGTTTTATTTTTATTAAAAAAACATACTTTTTAAATTTAATACCTAACCAATTTCCTAGCCATCTTCCCCTAACCCCAATATTTACATGTAAAGATAGCCTCATTTAGCGCTGTTTCGCATTACGCTCTACTTTGATGGAACGTATCCCCCGCGTTAAGCTTGACAGTACACCGCTAAAATCATTGCTTACATATGATAAATATCTTGCAACTTAACCATCACCGCTAAAATCACGGCCGATTAGCCGTCGACGAGCTTGGCGAATAAATATGCACTGGCGCCAACGCGAATGGATCCTTTGCGGAAGAAAACCCTATACTTTTACCGTTGTTTCATTTATGGTAACCTGAGTAGATGAATGCTATGAAAACCCTACTATGACATAATTGGTTGTGTAATTGCGGTGAATTTGAATGATGGGAAAAGGTCTGGAAAGGCTTGTTTGTGTGTCAGATTTTGGATAAAAAGTATGTTGTTGTTATTAAATTAATGGCCAAGTATGGTAAGATTAACTTAAAGCTTCTGTATGATTTGAAATGAAAGGGAAAAAGCATTAATTGACTGGTGTGTAAATGAAGGTTTACTTAGCAGCCATTACAGGTGTCTTGTTTGCATATAGTGGAACATGAGTATTCTCCGACATTCGACCATTCTATAGAAGTCTCCATAGGCGACATTCTATGGAGGATATTTTTTACTCTTATTTTTGTGAATTTATGTGACGACACCAATATACAGATTCTAGTTCAGATAATTTTAGGACATTTTTGGATGCTGTTACAGAATTTTGTTTGACTGAAGATGCGGAAATTTGTAAATAAGGTAAGTGGATATTTCCTTTGTGTACTGCTAAGATGAATTTCCTTTTTTATGTTATTTCACTGTTTGATTTAAAATGTAATTTATTGAGATTATATATTTTTTGTTGGCTGCCCCTTTGACCGCTTTGACTTAAGTGAATATAGATCAATATGTACATGGACAAAGTCAAGGGAGTGTGCAATGCCTAGTTTATGCAATTCTCTGATGTTTTTATAAGTGAAAATAGCTCGCTGTGTACATGGATACAGAGTTTGGGCAACTCTTTCATTTGTTATTTTGGATTTGTATAGCATCAATTTTCGGCACAAAAATCGATGCTAAGTAATGAAAAGTCAAATAATTGCACAAACTCTGTATTCATGTACCGCCAAAAATCACTGAGGAGCGCCCATAAATATATTTTTACCATCCAGTTTTGTTGTAATTTATCAAAATCTGACAATAAAATTAATTTCTGGCACTAGCATAGAATTGGATGCCCCTTCAATTCTTTATTCAGAATATCTGTATAAAGAAATTCAGCAAAAGTTTACAATTGGGTGCCCCTTGTTTTTTGGCGATTCTCTTTTGACGCCAAGATCGGCACCAGGAAGGCACAATTTCAAGATGGCCGCTATACAAAACCAAAGTCGAAGAATTGCACAAACTCTGTGCCCATGTACACATCGATCTGTTTTCACTTAAAAGAACATCCCAGAATTACACAAACTAGGCATTGCGCCTTACATTTATATATGTACACATCAATCTATTTTCATTAAAAAAAAATCAGGAAGCTAAAACAAAGTTACAACCATCATGGTAACCAGAAATGAGGTTTCATCGCCAAAATTTTAAAAAATTTGTCGCTTAGCAAAGGGGCACCCAATAATATTAATAAAATCATCTTTATTGTCAATAAAAAATGCAAAGTCAATAAAAACAATGTTTCAAGACACAGAAAACAAAATCTAATCTAAACCAATCTTAGATATCTTTAATTAGCTAAAAAAGCTTAAAATTTGGCATTTTTCAATTACATCATAAAACCCTAATATGAAATTAATTATGTCATTAACGAGAGAAGCTAGAAACAATTAACATAACGTCAAAGAACATTTAAAAAAATCCAAAATTCAAGAGCAAATAGAGAAAAATTAAAATAACAGTAATGCAAAAAGTACTTTAAAAGTAACAATAAGAAAAAAACACAAATAGCTGTATTAATCAAAAAGAAGAAACCATACCTATTATGTGTAAAATAAAATATGTAGAAGCTTCAAAATTGAAGAAACTTTCCAAGTTCAATTTTCTCCCTGTACATACAGCTGCAAGCACAAGCAAAAGTTTAGATGCTAAATTCCAGCCGTCCACGTAGAAACAATATTTCGATTTACAAATAACTTCCATTACGTACAAAAGACACACTCTAGATATAATATTAAATAAATTCATAAAATTCCGATCAAAAATCTCCATTTTCTTATACAGTTCTCGACGGCACAAAATTACTAAAAATTACAGAATAAAACTCTTAATACCGGCGTACACATTTAGCAATATTCAAAAAGCATTGAACATAGTTGTCTGTGTTGCCATACAAAAACGGCTATTTCACCCCAGTCCACGGATGGCCAACTCGCGGCACGCGTAAAATTGACGTTCAGCTATTCAACCTTCCCCCGACCAGGGATGACTTTTCTAAATGTTATAGAGAAAGAAAGATTAGCTAAAGAGAAAGAAGCAGCGAGCCAAATTCCAAAGCTTAGGTTTCGGTTTCCCCTGGCAACCAGGAGGTAAACAGGAGAGAAACGAGTAATTATTCTAGCGAGCATGTGAGAAGCGTCTCTCCCACTCCGCAGCAACCAAATAATATTCCCGCTATTCACTTTAAATCAAGCAAGCAGTGGAAGACGTAAATGTCATTTTTGAGTGAGATTGCCCAAATATTAAGAGCAGACTCACTGGTCCCTACTTAAAACTGTTCGTTCAAACCTAACATGAGTTCCGGGAGGTTATTCGCTGGATGAAAAAGACTGGCATCCAGTATAAGACTTAGGCCTACAGTAGGACCGGCCAATTCGATTCATCCAAGATAGAGACATGGTATTTTATTTGATTGCAATGTATTGCCTACCAGCGAATATGAAATCTATACAGATGGGTCCGGTTTCGAGGGAGGTGTGGGATGTGCGTTTGTCGTATATTTTTATGGTTTGGAGATCATTATCAAAAATACATACTGGATAAACATAATTCAGTTTATCAATCAGAGCTATACGCCATTTATAAAGCCTTGGAATGGATTAAATCCAATTTGATCTATAAATGTACAGTTCATATATACTCGGATGCCTATTCAGCACTCGTCGCCCTCTCTCGGCCGGACCATAAAAATGATATCATGAATAAAATTTAAATGATTATATGAATTTAAAATATAAATGTCAATCAATATTCATTGGGTAAAGGCCTATATTGGTATCATTGGGAATGAGAGGGTGGATTCCCTAGCAAAGGAGGCTGCCCTGGAGGATGAGATCTCTGACAGTGATCTACAACATTCTAAAAAAGTTACAATTAGCAAAATGAAAGATCACATATATAAAACTGGTCTGATCAACGGAATGTCAGAGGCCTTGTTAAATATAATAATTAAGAAGAATATGCCTATATTTTGCGATAAAGACTATAATCAATTAATAATTGGGCATGGACGCTTTCCATATGTACTTACAGAGATTCCACCTTCAGGGGGTAAAATTTGTCTTAAATGTGATACTGCCGGTGACTGCATTCACTTTATTGAAAGTTGTAACTCACTGGGGGGGGGTAACAGTCGTACATGGAATCGGAAATGTAAGAGAAATGATTCAAAAGTTATAAAAAAGGAGTAAAATTTGCACAAGACATTATAAAAGTCATCAATTCTGATAAACATGTGATCGGTATCTCTGATTGATCGAGTTAACATACAGAAAGCGTTCAATTCATGGAAACTACCCTAAAAGGGAGAGAAAGACTTTGTATGCAAAGGTTCAGGGACAGCTTAAATGTTTTTATGAGCCGTATTATTCTTTATAGTTTACTAACCTAATTTTCTTTCTTTTTTTTTCTTTTTTTTTGGTTAAGCTGCTAAATTGATTTTGTTTTTATTTGGACACGGCCGGCTCGTGTCGTTTGTTGTTGGAAGGGTTGCGCCCGCTTTTCTTCATAAGGTTCAACAAACCAGGCGGAAGGGCTGCGCCCGTATAAAACAAAACAACACAAAACAGCTAAAATCAAACAGTTGGTGCACGATTTACGTTTGGGTGATATGAGGCCTTGTAAATTGCTGTCTAAAATGTCAGACTTAGCCGCCGGTAACTTAACGGATAACATTCTTAAAGCATTATGGATGAATAAATTCCCATCTAACATGCAAACCATTAGCGACCACTAACGAGCCACTTAAAAACCTTCCCGAAATCCTGATAAAATTCACGAGTTGGCCATTCCAGCGCAAATACACGCAGTGCAGGCGCCTGGTCCAGGTCTTGTGGCGTTACAGACTCAAATTAGTGATTTGTCCAAACAGGTTGCTCAGTTAGTAGCCATCCAAGCTGAACCTTTTCAGCGCAACCGCTCTACATCACGTGGTCGAAATACACATCGTAGCCCACTGAGGAAACATTATTAAAGACCTCCTCCGGGTACAGAAAGAGGCGCAGCCCCCATCCACCTAATCGATTTGATTTTATGACTTTTCCAGGGAGGCGCCGAGTTAAAAACCACATAATAAAATACGACCATTAGAATATAACCTAATGGACCTTAACGGCACAAAAGGAAAGTGAGAAAAAATAATAATAATTAAAATAAATAGAATCAATGGTTAGTAACTAACTAAAGGAAAGGACAAAACACAAGGCACAGACCACGCTCTGTCATAAAAACACTAAACACATGTTAAATAAAAATTCCGACATTAACACGATTATTATTAATAAAATTCATTAATTCCCTAGCAAATTCAAATACAATGTTTTTTCCAGTAAATGTATTAATATGTCCAAACTTTTTCCTTATATCATAAGTTAAATCACATTCATTTACAAAATGTTTAACTGAACCCGTAACTCCACAATTATAACATAACTCATTTTCTTGTAGACCGAATCTCTTTAGGTACTCCGGGAAGCGTCTATGTCCTATGATAATTTGATTAAGATCCAGGCAGCATGAAATACATTTATTATATGTAGGGATCAAATTATAACTGTAATCCTCTTTTCTATCAGACTCATTCCAATCCTTTTTCCACATATCAATATAAAATTGTTTTAGTTTATTTACAAAAATTCTTCTGGATGGTTGGACAGTGGAACACTCCCGGGATTCGCCCTAAACTGCCTCCTTGGCCAACATATCGGCCCTTCCGTTACCCAAAATCCCAACATGGGACTTAACCCATTTAAATTTCACAACATGAATTTTGGTGATTTCTTCATAGAGACATTTAATATCAACAATTAATGAGTTTTTACATTTGTAATTTTTAAGGCCTGTAGACCACACAGACAATCACTATAAATTGATATTTTATAATGCATAAACAAGTTAACTTATCCTCGCTCCAAACTACTTGGAATAAAAATACAATTGTTACAAATAAACTTCCTAACTGAACACAAAAGTACAAATCGGATATTAACAAATCGACAAAAGTATTCGAACACCGGTACCCTATCAGAAAATGACAAGATGGCGTTTTTTTTCTCTTTCTCTCTGTGTCGTGTTATTCCATCCTAGGTTTTCTTCTCCCCCCCATCTTGGAAAAAACTGGAAAAAATTGGTCACGATCTCTTTTTGAATGGGGAGATGCCATTTTGAGAAAAAGCTGACGACCCTATCTTGGAGAATGAACATGACCGCTCTACACACTCTTTCTCTCTCTCTCTCTCTTTGAATTGGGAAGCCATTTTGGGAAAAAGCAGACGACCCTATCTTGGAGAATGGAAATGAACGCCTCTCCCTCTCTCTTTGAAATGGGAAGCCATTTTGGGACCCTCTATTCTTGGGGAGGGAGAAAACTGAAGTCTGCATTTCGCTGTCTCTGAATGCGGAAAGCCCTTTTGGGAAAAGCGGACCCTCTTCTTCTGATCTTGGAGAACTGGAAATGAACGCTCTACACGATCTCTCTTTGAATTCAGAAGGTATTTTGGGACCTTCTAAAAAATGAACGCTCTACTCTCTCTAATTGGAGGATTCTCCACCACCATCCTAACCTTGGAAAACTGAAATGAACGCTCTACACTCTCTCTCTCTCTCTCTTTCTCTGAAATGGGTAGCCATTTGAAAACTCCCTAACTTTGGAAAAAAACAGAAATGAACGCTCTACACCATCTCTCTTTGAAAATGGAGGGTGTCATTTTGAGACCTCCTTCCCCTAAACTTGGAAAAAAAAACTGAAATGAACGCTCTACACTTTCTCTCTTTGGACATGGGTAGCCCTTTGGGGACCCTCTCCTCTTGGTAAAAAAAAGAACTGAAGTGAAGGCTCTACACAATCTCTCTTGGAATGGGATCCATATTTCGGGAAACGTGGATCACCTCATGCTGGAAAACTGAAGTGAACCACCAAGATTGGACTCTATATAATATTTTTTTTAATTGACATCATGACCCTCCTCCAATTTGTTATTAAAAAAATTTTTTTTTTGTTTTGGTTTTTATCCCATTTCCGATGTGATTTCAGAAATGCAATTCCATAACAGTTCAATTTCATTCGAGGTTAAATGATCTAAACAGTCTTTGACCCACCCATCCGTATGATTATTTTCTTCTCCTTCCTGTTGCACCAAATTTTGTAAGTCCATATAATCATTCCATACGGGAAGGGCTGGATCCTCACAAGGCTGTCTTGAAACACTTGGAGTCTCTTTGGGATGAGTGGAGGGATCTAGGATGTCTGGACCCGGCTGCGATTCTACCTCCATGATTTCTGGACCCGTTGGAACTTGTTTGAACCCGGCTGTGAAATTCTACCTCCATGATTTCTGGACCCGTTGGAACTTGTGAACCCGGCTGTGATTCTACCTCTACGATGATTCGGGACTTTTTGAAGCTTGTGGACCCGTCTGACATTCTACCTCTACGATGTCGGGACAGGTTGGAGAAGAAGAAGAAGAGGATACTGGAAGAGGTTCTGTCTGTGAGGAGTCCGAAAGAGGTTGCCTGTTTGAACAAGTCGGGAAGAAGAAGAAGAAGAAGCTTCTGGATTCTGAAGCGGATCTTGCACGCCAGGTAGGTTCCGGTAAGTCGACCGTTTTTTAAGAGGTAATTTTTTTTCTTCCTCCTCATCTTCAAATTGTGATGACTTCAATTTCATTCCGTTGCCGGGTCGATTTTGTTTCGGGCCATGACGGTTTGGTCCAGCTCCTCTTATCATCTAAGGAAGGGATGGGTAAAGGTGGCGGAGGGTTTTTCTTCTTCTTTTTCTTGAAACATCATCGGCGATTGGAAAGAAATCTCCTCTTTCAATTGTTTCCAAAGCGAGTACGAGCACCGATCGACGAGAAAGAGACTCT